GGGTGGCAGGAAGGACGGGGCCTCTGGGGGTGCCAGGGCCACTGATCTATAATTCAGCAGGTTTGGTTTTTTTTTCCTTGCTAGTTGTTGCTTATAGAAAGGGCTTAGCAAAATCTTGTAATCAATAATTAGTGAGGTTTCCTGCCCCCAGAGTCAGAGATGTGCCTGTGGTCTGCTTGCCCAGACCCGAGCTGAAGTGAGACCCCAGCTCATGGTGCAGCAGGCCCTGCCCCAAACCCAGCCTGTGACAACCTTGGTCTGGTGTCCTCTAACTGAAGAACTGAAGCCTTTACTCATGGGAAGTGGAGATGGATTTCAAGCACCATGATATTGTTGCCCTGTCACTCCCCCTCCCCACCAGCTCTCCACCCCCAAAATGTGGCATTTAGCAGAGTAATACCTGGCAGCACAGCTGGGACAGGAGTTCCTGTGTGAGCCCATTGTTCACTCCAGCCTCAAGCAGTGGCCATTGCTGAGAGGTTCCCAGCAGCACTGAGGGACCTGGGGCACCTTTCACCAGCAGTAGGACAGTTCTATGTCCAGGCCACCACTGCCCACCCTGGCATGGGAGCAAGAGATGGATGAAAGAAACTTAATTCCACTCAAAGTTTCTCTCAGGCATTTGCTTTCCTGGCAGGTTTGGTGTTGCTGCCACAGGGCTTGTTCCCTGGGAGGCTCCAGTCCCTTGGATGTTTTGCCAGACAGGGAACAATGCAGAGGGCAGAGGCTGCCCCCTTGGATTTTGTCTTCTAGAGTTCAAGTTTGGCAGAAGATTTTTTGCTTTGTTTTGGCTTCATTTCTTGAGGAATCCTTAAGTGGTTACTGAATGGGTGGGTAGAAAAGAGCATGGAGGAGCTGGGTGGGCTGTCCCCTACCCCTTTACCAGAAAGTCAGCTGTACCCTGGGCTGCATCACCAGCAGCTTGGCAGGAGGTTGAGGGAGGTGGTTCTGTCCCTCTGCTCTGGTGAGACCTCCCTGCAGTGCTGGGTGCAGCTCTGGGGTCCTCAGCATAGGAAAGACATGGACCTGTTGGAGCTGGTCCAGGTGAGGCCTCAAAAATTATCACATGTCTGGAACACCTCTGCTCTGAGGACAGGCTGAGAGAGTTGGCATTGTTCAGCCTGAGAAGTTCTATAAGAAAGATGGGGACAGAGTATTCAGTAGGGCCTGTAGTGACAGGACAGGGAGCAATGGTTTTAAACTAAAAGAGGTGGATTCAAACTAGATGTAAGGAAGAAATTTGTATGGTGAGGGTGGTGAGGGGCAAGCAGGTGCGGGTGACACAGTTGTGGGGGTCTACTACAGACCTGATCAAGGTGAGAAGGTTGATGAGGCTTTCTACAGGCAACTGAAAGCAGCCTCACAAGTACAGTCCCTGGTCCTCATGGGAGATTTCTACTACCCCGGTATCTGCTGGAAGACTCACACAGCCAGCCTTTCACAGTCCAGGAGGTTGCTCCAGTGCATTGATGATAACTTCTTAATGCAAATGGTGGACAAGCCGACTAGAAGAGGAGCGCTGCTGGATCTTGTACTAACCAACAAGGAGGGCCTTGTTGAAGCAGTGGTGGTCAATGGCAGCCTTGGCTGCAGTGATCATGAGATGGTGGAGTTCAGGATCCTGTGTGGAAGGAACAAAATACCCAGCAGGACCAGAACCCTGGACTTCCACATGGCAAACTTTGGTCTCCTCAATCATCTATTAAGGGAAATCCCATGGGACAGGGTGCTAGAAGATAAAGGGGCTCAAGATAGCTGGTCAACATTCAAGGACCACTTCTTGCAAGCACAGGATCAGAGCGTCCCAATGGTTAGGAAATCTAGTAAGGGTGCTAGGAGACCTGCATGGTTAAAGAAGGAACTACTGGGCAAACTTAAGTGGAAAAGGAAAATCTACAGATCATGGAAGGAGGGGCTGGTCACGTGGGAGGAATATAGGACTGTTGTCAGAGGATGTAGGGAGGCAATTAGGAAAGCTAAGGCCTCCTTGGAACTTAACCTTGCAAGTCAGGTTAAGGATAATAGAAAGGGCTTTTTCAAATACATAGCTAGCAAAACTAGCAATAGAGGCAATATTGGCCCATTGAGGAATGAGGTGGGAGCCCTGGTGACAGAGGATATAAAGAAGGCAGAGGTGCTGAATGCCTTCTTTGCCTCTGTCTTCACTCCTGCAGGGTCTCCCTATGAGCCCCAGATTCATATAGCCCCAGAAGAAGTCAAGATAGAGGAAGAGTTTGACATGGTAGATGAGGATTGGGTTAGGGATCAGTTGAGTAATCTGGACATCCATAAATCAATGGGTCCAGATGGAATGCACCCAAGGGTGCTGAGGGAGCTGGCGGAGGTCATTGCTAGGCCACTCTCCATCATCTTCAGTAAATCATGGGCAACAGGTGAGGTGCCTGAGGACTGGAGGATAGCAAATGTCACTCCAGTCTACAAGAAGGGCAAGAAGGAGGACCCGGGTAACTATAGACCGGTCAGCCTCACCTCCATCCCTGGAAAGGTGATGGAACAACTTGTTCTTGTCACTATCTCCAGGCACATCAAGGACATGGGGGTCATCAAGAGCAGTCAACATGGTTTTATCAAGGGTAAATCATGTTTGACTAACCTCATAGCCTTCTATGAGGAAATTACTAGGTGGATAGATGATGGTAGAGCGGTAGATGTGGTTTATCTTGATTTCAGTAAAGCATTTGACACCGTCTCCCACAGCATCCTTGTAGAAAAGTTGATCAGGTATGGGTTTGGTGATCAGGAAGTGAGGTGGATTAGGAACTGGTTGAAAGGAAGGAGTCAGAGAGTTGTAGTCAATGGGGCAGAATCTGGTTGGAGGTGTGTGACTAGTGGAGTCCCACAGGGGTCGGTACTGGGACCGGTGTTGTTCAACATCTTCATCAACGACCTGGATGAGGGTATAGAATGTACCCTCAGCAAGTTTGCTGATGACACTAAGCTGGGAGGAGTGGCTGACACACCAGAAGGCTGTGCTGCCATTCAGAGAGACTTAGATAGGTTGGAGAGTTGGGCGGGGAGAAACATGATGAAATTCAACAAGGGGAAGTGCAGAGTTTTACATTTGGGGAAGAACAACACCATGTCCCAGTACAGGTTGGGGGCTGAACTGCTGGAGAGTAGTGTAGGTGAAAGAGACCTGGGGGTCCTGGTAGACAGGAGGATGACCATGAGCCAGCAATGTGCCCTTGTGGCCAAGAAGGCCAATGGCATCCTGGGGTGCATTAGAAAGGGTGTGGTTAGTAGGTCAAGAGAGGTTCTCCTCCCCCTCTATTCTGCATTGGTGAGGCCACATCTGGAATATTGTGTCCAGTTCTGGGCCCCTCAGTTCAAGAAGGACAGGGAACTGCTTGAAAGAGTCCAGCGCAGAGCTACGAAGATGATTAAGGGAGTGGAACATCTCCCTTATGAGGAAAGGCTGAGGGAGCTGGGTCTCTTTAGCTTGGAGAAAAGGAGACTGAGGGGTGACCTCATCAATGTTTACAAATATGTAAGGGGTGAGTGTCAGGGGGACGGAGTTAGGCTTTTCTCAGTGATGACCAGTGATAGGACAAGGGGTAATGGGTGTAAATTGGAGCATAGGAAGTTCAAGGTGAATATCCGAAAAAATTTTTTTACTGTGAGAGTGACAGAGCACTGGAACAGACTGCCCAGGGAGGTTGTGGAGTCTCCCTCACTGACATTCAAAACCCACCTGGATGCGTTCCTATGTGATGTACTCTAGGTGACCCTGCTCTGGTAGGGGGGTTGGACTAGATGATCTTTTGAGGTCCCTTCCAGCCCCTAAGATTCTAGGATTCTATGATTCTATGAAACACTGGTCCAGGTTGCCTGGAGAGGTGGTAGGTGCCTCATCTCTGGGAACATTCAAGGTCAGATTGGATGGGGCTCTGAGCAACCTAGTTTAGTTGAAGGTGTCCCTGTTTGCTGCAGAGGGTCAGACCAGATGACCTTTAAAGGCTTCTTGCAACCCAAGCTGTTCTATGATTTTGTGTCCCCAAAAGACACCTCCAGGGACATGTAGCAACCCCGAGCCTGGTGAGGCTGGACTCCCCACTGGCACCCACACAGTCTGGGGAGGGGGATGCAGTAGGGCCATCCCCTCTTTAGCAAGAGACTGGGGAGGGGGCATCCTCCCCAACGCTGCACACACAGCATGGCCTGGTGCTCCCACCCCTTGTCCCAGGGGTGGCTCCTGCCAGCCCTGCTGGGGCACTGGCAGCTGAGCACTGGTGCTCTCGACACAGCTGTGGCTGTGAGCTGGTCTGTGTGCAGGGAAACTTCCCTGGGGCTGTGCTGGGGACGTGGCACTCAGGGGTCAGAGCTGCCATGGCACAGGGTGTCAGGGACAGACTGATGCATGGGCATGCCCTGGTGGCTCCACCAGTACCTGCATCCTGGGCACAAAGGGTGATGAAGGAAATGGGGATAGAGCCAGGGCTGGCCAGCAAAGGGGCACAGCTGGATGTGGCCCCACCACAAACCACGTGCCCCTGCAAGAGACCCAGTGCTCAGAGGCCAGTGGGTGAGGCACAAGGCCAGCATGGCCAGGACCATGTGCTCACCCCTGGCACGGGAGCTTACACCAGGCTGATGGCCCAAGCTGCTCATCCCCGGTCCCAGGGGTGCTAGGGGGATTCAAGCATAAGCAAGAGCTGAAGAAGCACCTCCTGGTCACCCACCATGATATGTGTGTGAGTTTGACCCATCCCACCCTCCTGCACACTGTGGTGATGTTGGTGGGCCTGGGGGAGCAGGCACGTTGGAAGGACACAGAGACACGGATGCTGAGCCAGAGCTAGTTCAGTGTTGGTGTTTATTCGTGTGACACTCAGGGTGAGGGGACAGGAGTAGGAGGCAGGGGGACTTGGGGAAGGACAGCTGGGGCCAGGGGGGCAGGGGGGGTGGACATTGTCCCCAGCAATGGGGACGAGGAATGGGGCCAGTGAGGGCCCGGCGGGTGCCGAGAGGTTCCAGCAGGCTTAGTGGCTGCACTGGGATCTCTTCAGGCTCTTCTCCACGTTGCCAGCCTCGTGCTTGACCTTGCAGGAGTAGGTTTCGTGCCTTGCCCACTCGCTCTCACTCAGCATCAGGTAGCTGCTGGCCATGTACTTGTTGTTGCTCTGGCGCTGGGGCTGCCCGGTCTCCACGCCGCTGCTGATGACCTGCCCATCAGCTGTCCAGGTCACCTGTGCTGCCCCAGGATAGAAGCCTTCCAGCAGGCACACCAGGGTGGCTTTATGCTCCGACGAGAGCTGCTCGGAGGATGGTGGGAAGAGGTAGACAGAGGGGCTTGCCTTGGGCTGTCCTGCAGGGGAGAGAGCAGAGCAGGGTCAGGGGGCACCCAGGTTCAACTTTTATGCCTCTAAATATGTGCATTTGGGATATATATATACACATATATACGTGTGTGTGCAATATACGTATACTTACGTCCCATTTGTACTTGTATATACACATATATATATACACACACATGTATATATATGTATATACACACATATATATACATTATATGTATATATAAGTGCATATACACATGATATATTATGGATACCTACATATACAGATAACATAAATAATATATCTGTATCATAATATGCATATTATATATTACATAATATATATGTATATTACATATTTCATAATTAACACACACATATGTGTATTATATCTCGTTATATATATAATTACAAAAATTAATGTCATATTCATTTTTGTATATTTTAATATATTAAGCATATATTATTTTTACATTAATATATAATATATAAAATATATTATTTATATATTCATATATAGTGTATATATGAATATATATTATTTATATATTCATATATATATATATAAATAAATACATCTCTGGTTAGTTGCTGTAAACCCATTTCTTTCCTTTTGCAAGGCAATTCTTTTTAAAAAAAATAAAGAATCAAAATTTCACGGACCAACTGTCCTGGTTTTGCTCCAGTTCTGCTTTCATACAATTTCAGACTTGTTTCAGAAAAAGTAGAACTAAGAATCACCCAAAGGAAGATGAAGAAAAGATGTTTGGTCTTTCTGAGGTCATTCCGCTGCCTCCTTAAATGTCTGCCTCTATCTATCTCTAATGTCTAACCTCTAATTTCTGTCCCTTTCTCTATCTGAAGACCAGGACTCTGCCATTAAAAACTTTCTGCTGAAGAAATGGTAAACTGCCTTTTTCTCCATTTTACGCCCCTACTCGTTTGGTTCAGATTGGGATTTTTCAGCCTAATTCTTTTTAAAATTGCAAAGACAGACCCAGGATGTTCCCGGCAGCATTTTCAACACATTCATCTCCACTCCTGTCAGACCTTACCTGGACAAGGAGCCTCTTTAAGACACCCCTGACAACTTTTGGGTGCGATCCCAGGGATGTGCCATTTTCACTGCCAGCTGGAAGTGCCTCCAGCCAACCCACTGGCTGCCATTTCCCAGCGCATATATATGTATATACACACATATATATACATTATATGTATATATAAGTGCATATACACATGATATATTATGGATACCTACATATACAGATAACATAAATAATATATCTGTATCATAATATGCATATTATATATTACATAATATATATGTATATTACATATTTCATAATTAACACACACATATGTGTATTATATCTCGTTATATATATAATTACAAAAATTAATGTCATATTCATTTTTGTATATTTTAATATATTAAGAATATATTATTTTTACATTAATATATAATATATAAAATATATTATTTATATATTCATATATAGTGTATATATGAATATATATTATTTATATATTCATATATATATATATAAATAAATACATCTCTGGTTAGTTGCTGTAAACCCATTTCTTTCCTTTTGCAAGGCAATTCTTTTTAAAAAAAATAAAGAATCAAAATTTCACGGACCAACTGTCCTGGTTTTGCTCCAGTTCTGCTTTCATACAATTTCAGACTTGTTTCAGAAAAAGTAGAACTAAGAATCACCCAAAGGAAGATGAAGAAAAGATGTTTGGTCTTTCTGAGGTCATTCCGCTGCCTCCTTAAATGTCTGCCTCTATCTATCTCTAATGTCTAACCTCTAATTTCTGTCCCTTTCTCTATCTGAAGACCAGGACTCTGCCATTAAAAACTTTCTGCTGAAGAAATGGTAAACTGCCTTTTTCTCCATTTTACGCCCCTACTCGTTTGGTTCAGATTGGGATTTTTCAGCCTAATTCTTTTTAAAATTGCAAAGACAGACCCAGGATGTTCCCGGCAGCATTTTCAACACATTCATCTCCACTCCTGTCAGACCTTACCTGGACAAGGAGCCTCTTTAAGACACCCCTGACAACTTTTGGGTGCGATCCCAGGGATGTGCCATTTTCACTGCCAGCTGGAAGTGCCTCCAGCCAACCCACTGGCTGCCATTTCCCAGCGCCCCTACCCTCGGCCACGGGATCCCACAAAGTCCCTGCTCCTCACCCACAGCCTGGGACTTGGTCTGACTGGGAACCAAGGACTTAGACTTCAGCCTAATGACTCAATTCTTTAACAAAGACAAACATTTCTTAAAGAGACCCAAACCTGAGTGTCTAAAATAGGCTCCCTGAGACCTCAGACATAATTTCTGGCCAAATTTTAAGATCTTTCAATTGAGGAGATGCCCCTCAGCCCTCTCCAAAGCCCTCTGAGTCCCCAGCGACAAGACAAAGCCCCCACGCCCGTCCACACACGGGCGGCAGAGCCCAGCCCAGGGCCAAGTCCCTGAAAAAAACCCCAAATCACCAAAAATCGACAAAATGTCACAATTTTGGGGTGCAGAAGGAAAGACCGAGAAGGAATCGGCGACTCACCTAGGACGGTCAGCATGGTCCCGGCTCCAAAAATACCACACAGTGATACAGGGCTGTGCAAAAACCTCCTGCCCCATGGGAGGAGCAGTCCTGGGTCCTGTAGATATTTCAGGGCAAAGATGATGAGACAGAGATGCCCTGATGGATGCAGAATGATGGAGGTGATGGGATGGAGCCACTCTGATGGATGCAGAAGGATGGAGGTGATGGGATGGAGGCACCCTCATGGAAACAGCAGGATGGAGGTGATGGGATGGAGGTGCCTCTGTGGACGCAGCGCAGGGGAGGTGGTGGGATGGAGGTGCTCCAGTGGACACAGAAGGCTGGATGCACTTTGCTAGATGTGTCCTAGTAGATGTGGAAAAGGGCAGGAGCAGCAGTAGTGCAGCCATATGGGGTTGACCATATGTCCTTGCTGGAGGTGCCATGAGAAAATGGGGAGCCTTGGCCCCTCTATCCCACATGGACTAAGTTGGCAGGTCTCTGCAGAGCCAAAACTGCATCACTGGTTGCTCCAGGGACCCCCTGCTACCCAGAACCATGTGCCTTGTTCTATTTCAAGCCCATGCCTGTGGTGTGGGGATGTTGATCCCAGGTATGAAAAGGCTGGTGGAGGCTTTGGGTGTTCCTAGGGTGTATCAGGCAGCACCTTTGTCTTGACCTGCACTGCTGCCATGCTGGTGGGCTGTGGGCTGCTCTGGGGGGCAGCAGCCACTAAACTGACACACCTCAGGCCACATTATGGCTACAGCAGGGGTGAACAGGGACCATGGGCCACCAGACTGTGTGTGTGCGGCTAAACCTCATGAATAAACCATCCATCTGTCCTTCCCACCACCCAGAAACACCAGCACTGGCAAAGGTGCCATGGTTTCATAGGGTAGCCCACCACCCAGTGCCCATGCCAGCCTAGGCTGGGAAGGCAGGGAGGCACCCAGCAAGGCCCTGGGTGGCAATGGGCAGGGTGGGTGAAACTAGGACCTGCAGGGCAGGGACGGGCTGCTGGGGACCATCTCCTCCCCAGATGACAAGGGACAGGCACAGACCTGGGGCTCTAAGGCACAGCCAGGCTGGGACACCAGGCACAGCCCCCTGAAGCAAAGGGCAGCAAGAGCAGGGCTGTGGTGGGACCAGCCCCACCATCAAATGGGGACAGCCAAGACCCTAAGTGTCCCCTGGGGTGGCAGGAGGTTTTTGTATCACTTCCCCACTGCTCTGTGTCACTGTGGCAGCGTCACCACCAGTTTCATAGCCACCACAGTAATAGACAGCCTCGTCCTCGGCTTGGACCCCAGAGATGATTAACGTGCCCGTGGAGCCAGATGCAGAGCCGGAGAATCGTGAAGGGATGTCTGAGGGTCTGTTGCTATTCCAGTAAATCACGGTGACAGGGGCATGGCCAGGCACCTTCTGCTGGTACCAACCAGTGTAACCGCTGCCAGTGTCAATCCCAGAGCAGGTGATCTGGACAGTTTCTCCCAGGTTTGCTGACACCGAAGGCGGCTGAGTCACTGCTGCCTGGACCAGGAAACCTGGAGAGAAGAGAGGGGAGAAGATGTGGGTCAGCCAGGGCCCCATGGGCACAGCCCTGCCCGGGCAGCAGGACAGGGACCCGAGCCCTGTGCCCAAAGGCCCGGCCGGGCCCAGCGAGTCTGGCCAGGGCACCTGAGCTGTGGGCGAGCACCGCGAGGAGGAGAAGGGGCCCGGCCATGGTGCAATCACACCAAATCCCACCAGTTCCGTGTCCCCACGCTGATGGGGCTGTGCCACAGACCTCGACTCCCTCTTAAGCCTCTGCCTGTCTGGGCACAGCCCCTGCATGCAAATCTGACCCTGTGCTCAGGGCTGGATCCTGCCCCACCTCCCTCCCCGTTCTTGTCCCTGGGCACAGAATAGACGTAGAGACTCAACCCAGCTCAGAGCCCAGAACCAACCAGCAGGGACTTCCCCTGTACCCAGCCCAGGCACAGGGGCTGCAGGGCAGGGGGTGTGGGTGGCAGGCAGCACCCACAGCTATAGCATCTCACCCACAGGTTGTGGGGAGCAGATAGGCCAGCTCCTGTGTCAGCCCATGCCCAAACTGTTGTCCCTGGGGTGGGTTTTTGGGGTCCAGCTGGATCCAACAAGGCTCTCCCATAGGGAAAGCACTGGGAAAAGGCAGGAGCAAAGCCCCCATTACTATCCCTTCCAGCTCCTCCCATGAACAGTTTTTGTGACTGATGGGCTCCAGGAGCTTTAACCTGGGCCAGGAGCAGCACAAAGCAGCCCTCACGCCTGAGGACCACAGGGTACTTGATGCACCCCTGCCCATGTCCTTCTGGCCCCAGCCCATGGCACGTGTTCCTCCTTCCATCTCCACAGTTCTGTTCACAGATATAGAGCACAAGGCCACCTGGGACCCAGCAGCCCACAAAGCAGCTTCTGAAACCACAAATGCAACCACCATGGGCCCAGCACTCCTGC